CTTTCACTTGCTTGGTTAGCGTTACCCCAAGGTATTTTATGTTGTTTTTGGCTATTGTAAATGGCGATGTTTCTCTGATTTCTTTCTCAGCCCTTTTATCATCTGTATATAGAAGGGCTAATGATTGTCTTGAGTTGATCTTGTATCCTGCCACTTTTCTGAAAGTATTTATCAGCTGCAGGAATTCCCTGGTAGAGTTTTTTGGGTCACTTGTGTAAACAATCATATCATCTGCAAATAGTGAAAGTTTGACCTCTTCCTTTCCAATTTGTATTCCCTTGATCTCCTTTTGTTGTCGTATTGCTCTAGCTAGAACTTCAAGTACAAAATTGAAGATGTATGGAGTGGACAGCTTTGTCTTGTTTCTGATCTTAGAGGAATCGTGTTGAGTTTCTGTCCATTTAGTTTGATGTTGGCTGCTGGTTTTCTGTATATAGTTTTTATTATGTTGAGGTAAGTTCCTGTTATTCCATATCTCTCCAAGACCTTTATCATGAAGGGGTGTTGGATTTGTCAAAGGTTTTTTTCAGCATCCAGTGAGACGATCATGTGATTTTTGTTTCTTAGATTGTTTATATGGTGGATTACATTGATGGATTTTCATATGTCGAACCAACCCTGCATGCCTGGGATGAAGCCTACTTGATCATGGTGGATGAGCTTTCTGAAGTGTTCTTGGATGTGATTTGCCAGTATTTTATTGAGTATTTTTGCATCAATGTTCTGACTGTATCATATTGGTTGAACACTGTAGCTTTTAAACATGGAGTAACATGTTCTTTCTTTTGTAGCAGTTATTTCCTTCTTTCTTTCTTTCCCCCACATGTCTTTTAGACATATTTTAAACATTTTAAGCAAATAATGTAGTGACAATACACGTCTAACCACACACACTGATAAATTCAGGAAGTGCTTTACTTCTGTCATGATGTTACACTCAAGCCTCTCAGTTTCAGATCTTACAACCCATGAGGAGGCAGCCACGTTGTCCACTATCCCGCCAATTCTCGATAACACCACACTTAGGTGACCGAAGGACTTAGATTGGCACACTTGTGGCGGGAACAGCAGCGAGACGTTGTCGGTGACTCAATGCAGGATGCTGGTGCTTGTTTAGGTTCTTAGGGAAATGGCTGACACGCCACAATCTGCTAGTTAGTCACTGGGAACTGTTCTTTTCTTCTCTTACTGGGAATTAAACGTCGGGCTTTGCACATGCCTAGTAGGTGCTCACCACTGAGCCACATTTCCTATGACCTAACGCAGCAGCTCTTTGCATCTGACATGAGGAGGCGAAAGCAGCTCATGTAGAACTTGTCTCTCAATGGACTCCTGTAGAGTCTAACAGCTAGTGAAGTGGTTTCTAGTCTTTGCATTTAACCACGGAAACAGGGACGTTTTTATCATCCATACCACTGTACTTTAAACTATAGATGGAATTATTTTTCCGTGTCTTAGCTTTAGCAAACACATTTGTTTTAAATAACAATACAAAACATTTTATTTATTTTGTATTTCAGTTATCAGGGCCATGGCTCTATACAAAAGAACACCATTATGATTTATGACCACTAACATGTTTTGATGTCTTAACAATAATGATTTTATTTGAAAATCATAAATCATAACTGAGTATCCCTAAGCACTTAGCTGTTCTTTATGAGAGTAAGCTTCTGTCAGTGTGGAGGGCAGTGATTATTAGCGGTATGACTCAAAAATAATGGAAAGCTTTCCTAAGTTGTACATGAGCCAAAGGAGTGATACATTGTACACCAAACACAGAGCATGGTATTAAATATGCAGGAGTGTCACAAAGTGTTCTGTAGTGTTCTGACTTTGGTTCTTTATAATAATTGCACTGTGGATGTTAGAAGTTGAAGGCAGAATCATATAGAAGCGCACAGAAACCAGATCATCATCATCTTCTTCCTCTTCTCCCCGTCCTCTTCTTCTTTAGAGACTCTGTGTGTGTGTGTGTGTGTGTGTGTGTGTGTGTGTGTCAGGCTGGGATTAAAGACGTGTGGCCCTATCACCAAGCCTGGCGTAAAGCAGGTTTTTTTCTTCTCTCTTTTTTAAGGTCCTTTAAAAATTTTCCATTGGTGATCCTTTCTGCCTGAGAATTTTTTCCGGTTTTACTTGTATCTTATGTGTCTGGTGTTTGCCTGCACCATGTGCATGCAGTGACCCCTCCCCCACGGCCAGAAGAGGGCGATGAAACCCCAGGAACCGGGGTTACAGGTGGTTCTGAGCCACCGTTGTGTGCTGGGAACCAAACCCCTGTCCTCTGGGAGAACAGCCAGTGCTCTTAACCACTGAGCCATTTCTCCAGCTTGCCTGGGAATTTTTAAGCTACATTTTAGCTTTATTTAATGTGTATGGGTATTTTGCCTGCATGTGTATCTGTGCTCCTGTGCATTCCTGGATACCTAAGAGGTGGTGGGTGTCTTGGGGTTGGACTTACAGGCTGCCATGTGGGTTCTGGGAACTGAACTCAGGTCCTGTGCAAGAGCAGTCAGTGCTCTAACCTCTGAGCCATCCCTCTACCACCAAGTTTTCTTACAGTTTTACCGTTTTTTAGCCATGTGCGTCTGTTGTGGTGTAGGTATGTCAGGTGTCCATGGAGCTAGCGGGGCTGGAATAACAGGTGGTTGAGATCCGCCTGATCTGGGTGCCAGGATCCCCAGGATTCAAACTCTGGCTTTCTGTGAGAGGACACATGGTCTTAACCATGCCCCCATCTCTCTAGCCCCTTGTCTGAGAAAATTTTTATGGGACACCATGTAAACAGGCAGATAAAACAGGCACGAGGTGAAACATTTAATGGTAACGTACCACGAGTGAATCAACCTCATTACTTGTACACATAAAATTTTGTTTACTTATTATTATTATAGTGTGTGTGTGTGTGTGTGAGAGAGAGAGGGGGGGAGGGAGAGAGAGAGTGAGAGAGAGAGAGACAGAGACAGAGACAGAGAGAGAGACAGAGAGACAGAGAGAGAGAGAGAGAGAGAGAGAGAGAGAGAGAGAGAGAGAGAGAGATGCACATGTCATGGCATCTGTAGAGGTCAGAGGGCAAGCCTGTGGGGTCAGCTCTTTGCTCCCACTTTTGCGTCCGTTCTGAACGCTGGCCTCGCCGCTGGGCTTGCACGGCTCGTGAGTTTACCCATCGTGTCATCTCACTGTCCCAGCTTTATCATTCATAAAAAATGAACGCAAGGTCACACACTGGTGACACGGAAGTTCTTGTTTATTTTTACACAAAGAACACTATTTTGGAAGGGGGTGGAGATGGCTTAGCGGTTTAGAGGACCCAGGTTCAGGTCTCAGCACCCATGTTGGGCAACTCACAGCCTGTTAATTCTAGCTTCAAGGGATCAGATGCTCTCTTCTGGCCTCACACACACATGCAAATAAAATGATTCAAAAACATTGTATCTTCGCTGACTCTTTGATACTGTGCCATGCGGACCATCTTCAATGTTTTTCAGAAGTGATTGATTTTATGGTTTTATAATTATCAATGCTGAGAATATCATTTTTTTTACAATGCATAGTGTAAAATAGTATGTTTAGGACCATTTTGGAAACTGTTGGAAAGTCTGTTCTAATTCCAACTCATTTAGTGGTATTTTAAAATGACCCTAACAGCAGGTCTTAAAATCAAAGATTCCAAAGCAAATCGAAGCAGAGACATGCATATGCTTAGTGATGATGTCAGGGAAGTATTGCAAGTATTTGTTTTCTGTAATTAAATAATGTGTACTATGCACGATAAACACTGCAATTCATAACACATGGCAGAGTCTTGAATCTGGCCCACAGCCCAGTATGGTGTGAGGACACACACACCGTACAGTCGTGGTGTGCGTCCAGAAGCAAGGCTGCAAGCCACTTGGTGAAAAATGGGCAAACACTACAGGAACTGTGGGTTCACTACACCGCTTGGTTCTGAATTACTTTTTGATGACCAAACATTCAGAAACCTTCGACTATTTCTCTTGTGGTTGCTGCAACTCCGCCCCATCAGTCACACCATGGATCTGCAGTCACCAGTTTGGGAAGCTCTTCCTAGGTCATTTGTGAGAACTATGGATCTTCTAGAACTGGATAGAGTTATTTCTTTTGTTTGTCTTGAGAAATATAAAACACTTTGGGCATTCAAAAAAAGTATGGTGAAAACCATAACAACCTTGTACTTTTGTTGCTTGGCTCAAGCATTTGAAATAGAACTCAACAGTATTTTCCTTTTCTTAATAATAACAGTACATGACAAGTCTAAAATACAGGATTTGCATATTCTAGGTTTCTTGTTTTCAGCAAGTTTATTCCATCAATAAATCATTTGTGGCAACATATTGCTTATGATTTATTAAAGCCACTGGAGGTCAAAACAGCAAAGCAGCCATACTAGTTAGCCATAGAGGCCAGGCAGTGGTGGCACAAACCTTTAATACCAGGACTCAGGAGACAGAGGCAGATGGATCTCTCTGAGTTCAAGGCTACCCAGGCCTACACTAGATTGAATTAGTCTAAAAGAGAAACAAAGCTCATGCCTGTGATCCCAGCTCCAGGGAGGTCGAGACAGGAGGATACGGCTGGGCAGAGAAGGGAATGTGAAGAGGAGGAGACAGGAACTGAGAGTTTTTGCCTCTGAGGATTTGCGGAGACAGGATCGCCATTTCAGATGGGTAGAGGTAAGATCTACTGGCTTGACTGCTTTGCTTCTCTGAGTCTTTCATTTTTCATGTTACAACTAATTTTATTTTATTTTTATTGTCTTAAGGAAGCCTTCTGTGTATCATTGGCAAAATGTGCTAGGTACATACTGTGCGAGTCTGAGATGAACTTGCAAATGTGGGAAGGAATTCTAAATACTGGGGGCAAGCCTGTGAATGCCCTAACTCACTTGACCTTGTTAACAGCTGTCTCAGGTGCCCGACTCTCTGAGGAAAGCGATTTTCTAAACCCCACTCCAGAGCAAAAAGAGAGAGGCGCATTACCTGTCGACACTGAGAGCGCAGAGATTCAAGACGGTGATGCCCACGGAGGACTTCTGCAAAAAGGGGAACAGCTTGCAGAGGAACACTCCAAAATCGTTGTGGTCAAAAGGCCAGCGCCCCGCCAACAGCTGAAAAGGTGAGAAGAGAGTAAGAAACGGGGAGGCTCACCCCAGGTGCACCCCTGCTTGTATCCCCGAGGCACTTTTGCGTTTGTTTGTGAACACGTGACCAGACATCAGGCTTTCTCCCTTTCCCAGTGGCTTTTGAAAGAAGCCTTTCCTTTGCTCCAACCTGACCCCGCCTCTGCCTGGTGTCACTGTAGCCAGTCTCAACTGGCTTATCAGACTTTCCACCTGAACTTTGTCCAAAGACGTCCACAGACCTCCGCTCACACGCGGCTCTGAACTCCGATGATCTTTGGGAACACCACGAATAATTCTACGCTTGTGGCTGCCTAGAGTCTGGCACGAGTAAAGGCACGAAGCATGATTTCCGGGCTGAATCACTCTTACAAAGACAAGGGTCGCGCTTTAATGCCAACTTGCCACAAGCTAGAGTCGGCTCAAGGATTCAGCTGAAGATCTTGCAGCTCACTCTGTCTTAGCAATAAAACATACAAGAGGAGGGGCATCTTGGAAGCAAACAACACAGTGTACCACTTTCTGACTTTAAAAAATTACATTTATTTGTGTGTGTGCACGCGTGTGCGGGTATATGTGTGTGTATATGTGTGTGTATATGCACGTGCATGTGTGCGTGTGTGTGCGTGTGTGCATGTTGTGTGTGTATATGTGTTTGTATGTATATATGCACGTGCACGTGTGTGTGTGTGTATGTGTGTGTGTGTGTGTGTGTGTGTGATGGCAAAAGTGTAGAGATCAGAGTTGGCTGCCTCCTTCCATCACGTGAACCCAGGGAATAACTTGGGTCACCAGGCTTTGTACCCACTGAACATCATGCTTTGCTCTCTCTCTCTCTCTCTCTCTCTCTCTCTCTCTCCCTCCCTCCCTCTATCCCTCCCTTTCTTTCCTAATAGAGGCACTTGGGGTTTCTGACAGGTACTGGGCATCCATCCATCCTATCATTCACTAACACTTAAAATTAAATAAACTTTTTGAAGTGGCAATAATTAAGTCGTATCACATTTACATAATGACAACTGAACAGTAAGTCTAGCAAGGCCCCCAAATTTCCCACCCAAAGGCAACCCTTGCTGATGGCTATGCGTTTTCTTACAGAAAACTTGCAATGTACATACAAACTTCATCTTTTCTTAAACAAATGGGAACATATATAAAAATATTTTCAAAAGTTTACTGTGGTTTCTTTTTTCTGGGGTAATTAATGGAAAGCACTGCTGCCTAAGAGAAAGGTCTTGGGCTTTAAAAATACTTTGATGGAACAGTTTAAGCAAGGGCCTCACTTGATTAGCAGTTATTTGGTATATCTCGACCAAAGGAAAACAACTGCTGATTTCTTCAAAGTTAGCAAGCGATGATCAGTTCCATGACAGAAACAGCAAACAACTTGTCAAGTCAAACCGGCTCAAGGGGTCATTTTGGAGCATGGGAGTCATAGCTTGTTTCTCTTGCCATAAAAAGGCCTGTGTTATGAAAAACTCATGCTTACGTCTCTTTGAGAACACCATGTGGTACCTAGCTGAGTCAGTACTCACCCTGATCAGTGACTCTAACTCATGGATTCAGGATCGTGTTTGTGTGCTCTGACATGACAGCATGAAGGCTCTGAGAGCATATTCACGCCCAGATTTACTTTCTGTTCCAAGGTATCAGTGCTCCAAAGTAGCGTTTCCACTGTTTTTGTAAAGTGAAATGGTACACTGAGCATTGAGTAGGGGGAGGTTATAGATGGTTGTCTGCCACAACCCTGCTTTGGGTGACAGGTCACAGCTTCCTAGGAGGTCCATGGAAGGCCGGGGAGATGACACACATCCTGTGGGGAAGTCCTCATCTTGTCTCCCCTTGCTGCAGAGGAGTTCAGAGCATCACTGCAGACTGCAGGGACACTGGCATTCTTTAACCGGCTGAAGCATATGCACATTCGAAGATGGCAAGTTAACGTACAAATTCCAATTCACGTGTTTGACTTGGCTTGTGTCAGGTCAGCGTCATGAAATGGACAGGGTGCCTTTCTCTTAACCCTGCCAGACACAGGTTACTTTGCAAACGTGTGTAATTTGATACACACATGAGGGCCTGTTTCCAGAATGGCTGTGTTCCCCATGCATCTTCTATGTACACTTTTGTGTTTTTGTGCAAAGGGATGTCTCATTCAGCGTGTACAATGCCAGTGTGTGCTGCTTTTCTGGAACATATCTGACAACTAGAAGCAAGGGCAAAGGCTGGAGCGGGGAAGGTGATGTGAAATTCTGCCCTGGTGATCCCTGCTCATTGTAGGTAAATGAAGTCCCCGTCACAGGAAGGCATATTGTTACTTTGTGTCCAATGCTACAAGCTTAGTTTTTCTTCTTTAACTTGTTGCAGATTCAAGCTAATCACCAACAGAAACATTTATGAGAAGTAGTTCTCTATATTGGTTTGTGTAAGGATTAGGGAGTTAGTGAAAAAAAAATCCCAGCACTTGGGCCACAACGCAGACCTGTGCTGATCAACCAGGGTAACGTAGTGTCTCTTGTCCATAGGTGACAATATCAGAATCTTACAGGTATTAAGGACTAGGAGGAATGTTCCTGACATCTGGGGAGTAGGGGCTAAGGATGTTGCTAATATCTCGTAAAACACAGCAGGTTATCTTCCCCAAATAGCCACCAGATGCAAGACTTTAATGCCGTTGAGGTTGGTACACACCATCCCAGGAACTATACCAGATTAAAGAGAAGAAGTGTGGGCAGCTAGGCTAGTTGCTGTGGGGAACTGAACAGCGTCAGAGGCACCTGGACGGTGCCTTGCCACACACAGCTGATGACTCTGCCGCTCGGGGTGGGGCTGAAGTATGGGCATTCCTAACTGCCAAGGGGCTCGGCTGCTTCAGAACCATCTCTCTAGGAGAACCACGAGCAGCAAGGATGAGAGCTGGTAGCCAGATACAACTGGATGAGCAGGAAAAAAAAACACAAATTCACAAGGGAGAAAATCATTGTAATCCACAGGGATACTTAATCAAAGCAACAAGGATTCTTCGTGTCTGGGCCTCGCTGGCTTGATGCTGTTTGCTTATTCCCTCTGTTCAGGACAGGGTGAAGCTGTCGTTGTGAGACCTAGTGCGAGCTAGTCAACCTACTGGGACTCTTCCTGTGCTAGTCAAATGGGGGTGGTTCCACGCCTGCCATGGTGGTGAGAAGACCATTTAGGGGGCTCAACACTAACGTGAGAATCCTACCAACTGAACACATACTATCAATGCTATTATTTTGGATTGCTATAGTTTGTAAACCCAAGTTGAAATGCATGTGCCATTTATGTATGACTTTAATGAGAAAAAACGAGTAATCTGAGTAATGGTACCACTGTTTTCTGATTCCAGATGGCAATACCTGCTACTACTTAATCTCATCACTCAGGCATTATTTTTGTCATTGTCACCGCATCTTAAAACCGTACACAGAAAACCAGCAGCAGCTTTCCCTTGGCCCAATTTCTTTCCGTTCCCTCTGGTAAGGCTGGTAGATGTTTCCTTTTCCCTTAGTCGCCTCACCACACCCATCCTAGACAGGAAGGAAGGATTTATGAACATAGTCTGCAATAGCTAAAACCTCAACATTTGAAAAATGGTCTCTGCCCCTGGAACACACATTATAGTGGGCCACTTGGAAGCAGACACCAGTCCTCAAAGAGCAGGGACCGACTTTTCTCTCCCGCCCTCCCCTTCCCTACTCTCTGCTCTTCCCCACCCCTCCTCTTCTCTTCCTCCCCTCTCCCCTTCCCTCCCCTCCCCTCCTTGTTTTGCTTTTCTCTCCCTCCATTCTTAGAGAGGAGCTGGGATGTACAAGTTGTCACTCAGTCAAGCCGTAGGGAAGAAGATTGTCCCCATCAGAGCAGCCTGAGACGATTTCAAAGCCTGTGATACCCAGGACGGGCTTTCAGTGAGGTCAGGAGCGCCGGCGTTGCTGCTGTCCTGTCGGACGCGGAAAGATCAGCCACTCTCATGACGGGGCATGGGTTTTGCTCCTCCGTTATGCTTTCATTGCCACAGGATTGAGGCAAAGCTATCACACAAATGTGGTAAAAGCTGCCTGTCTTCCACACATGCTTCTTCTTCAGGCTCCTCTTGCCTCCTGTAGCAGGTGACATTCAGAGAAGGAGCACGGCTGTTCTGGTCTGGCTTTGTGTGCTCTCAGTGACATAGGGGGCAGAGGAAGCTTCATTTCAACTGTGGACTAGGTCTGACCTGTGCCACTTCTGACCCATGGCTCAGGCACACGGCTTACTCCTGTCTTCCTACGGTAGCAGCCTCACAGGACCAATTACTATAGGCAGCAGCCGAGATAACGCAGAGCTTAGCACAAGGAAAGGTCTAGAAATGTGAACTGTAGTCACTGATGGTCCATGGCTAGCTCTTTCTTGGTGTCATTTTGCCAAGGAGGTTAGCTAGCTTCTGTCACTGTGACAAAATATCTGAGACAATCACATTTAAGGGAAAGGCTTACAGTGGCTCATGGTCTCAGAGGTCTATGGCTGCTCAGTCTCCTTGCCTTTGGGTCTACTGCGAGGCAATACTTCATGGCAGGGAGTGCAAGCTGCTTACCTCATGGCAGCCTCGAAGCCAAGACAGAGGAAGAGGAGGGGCCAAAGTGACAGTCTTCTTTAAAAACATGTCCTAACTTCCTCCTTCTAGAATTTAAAGGCTCTACCACCTGATAGTGCCACTGGGAATTAAGCCTCTAACGCCTTTGGGGTGAGTTCAGGATTCAAACTAGAGTAGATGGTAAGGGAGGAGTAAGCAGGAACCAGATACAGGCCTCATAGAGTCAGAAGACCCCATCCTCCAGGAGTTTACTGTCCAGAAGACAGGCCGATGTCATGGCACCCAAAGCTGTAAGCTCTACACCAGGACCACAAGAGAAGGCGACGCCATGTGACCAACAAGAGTCACATCCCTGCTCCCCAGTGGAACCTGCACCACGTGGCTGACTGACTGTGCTGGCAAG